TTTTTAATATTCGACGTAAATAAATGATCAACTAATTATATCAGCTAGTTGACAAAATATAATACTTTTAAAAGTTAATTCCAAAGACACGAACAGCACATTATTGCATTAATATGTCATTACAAAACTTTAGAATATTCCCATATAGACTAATTTACTTATTTATTAACATCATTCTAACTATGATATTTTGGAGATGTTTCAGCTAATGATTGTTGATTAAATGTTTAACGAATACGATAATATATAAAACAAATAAATGCTGAAAAAGCTGCAATAAACATAACTAAAATGAGTAACATTATTCCTGAACATATGTGATTATCTTTCTTTCTATCATGTTCATATTTTTGTAATTCAACAATTTTATTAATAACATCACTAAGTCTATCATTACTTTGAAGTACTGTTGACCATTGCGAAATATTACATGCATAAGTTGTTTGTGGTAAATTGAAAAGATAATCATAAATATTTATTTTGATCATTTTGGAAATCTAATAAAATATGACGTTCAATCATTAATATATCCCATAAAGCATGTAAATTAGTGGATTTATCAAAAAAATCACTTAAAATAAATAATTAATATTCAAATGTTTATAAAGGTAAAATATTTTCTTTTTTTTATCTCGAATGAAATTTCAACCTTTATCACAAACAAAACCTGCATGTTGTTGAATATTATTTTGATTAATATCAGCTAATTGTTTTGTATAATTTTGAATTGCTCCATCAACACAACGTTGTCTACTCGTTCAATTACAATCATGATTATGATTATAATTACAAATCCAATCAGGTATATTGACATAATGTAATTTTGGCCATAACCAATTGAAATAATCAACTGGATTTGTATTTGGAGAAACGATTGTATCAGACTATGAAGCAAGCATACTTAAATTACCATGGCAAATAATCGCGAAAGAATTTTTCTGACTCCTTAGCCAACATAGTTTGTGCAAGTTTAGCTACAAGAGCATGTCCAGTAGCACCCCAACCATTGACTTTTGAAATATATGTAGAACTTAATATAAAAAATATAGAAAACTTTGAGGATATGATTTGAGCAAAGAATAATACAGAAGGAAGAAAAAGTTCTCTTATGAATTCAGATACATTAGATAAGAATAGAATACAAGATCATCAGTTATTTTATATGCTCACATGGCCAAACAAAAATAAAGAAAGAGAAAAGTGTGAGTTTGCAAACTAGAGCAAACAGGTGTCAAACTTTTTCAAAATTAATCAATTTGAATTATATATGGAAATTTCATTAATTATAAAATATCGAATATCTATTGGAAATATGAAAAAGTAGGCATGTTTTACAAGATGTTATTCGAAATATAGATTATTAAAATTAATATTTCATGATCAGTAAAGTACCTTTACAATGAAATCAATGCTTTTCAATTGTCTTTAGTTATGTCTAATAATAGATTTCGTTGATTTTAAATTTTCTTGTTGTTATGTACAATCAATAAAGTGATTAATCGAACTTCTTCTTGCAATGAATTAAATAGAAATTTATGGAACACGTATAACATGATTCAAAATACCAATATTCAACATTTACTAACCAGAATACTTGTTTCTCATATTTATAAAGTTTCTATTTGATATTTTTACAAACTTTTTATCTAGAACTCTTAGGTATCAATAGAAAACTCATGATCGAGTACAATTATTCATGTAATTATTTGATCATTATATGATACATGTAAAACGAACAACAATAAAAATATTTTGAGTTCTCTAAAAATTTTTGTTTAGAAAACAGAAACTATCGAATATAATCATTCGAAGAGATTAAAATATTCGTTAGTCAGTGTTAAAAATAATGGCCAAACGAAGTTTTGCACATCATTTTAATAGCATGCCAAATCTGCATGTCATTCGAGAAGGATAAATTTAGTTATCGAGAGCGTAGGCAAAACTTTCTTAGAGAGAAGCTACCATCAGCATTACAAAACCTGATATAATCATGACTTTCAAAACACCTATGTATCATAAGTTATATAAAAGTACTTTCCATTTCATTTATTCGAACAAAATACACCGAATAAAATCAAAATTTATTGCGAACAAAATTAATGAATTAAACCATCAAACAACGTGGTTTTTCTGATTTCCAGCAATTGATTATTTCTTCTTTCATGTCAGACGATATGATTATTTATTTTATTGGATGTAAAGATTTTTGATAAAAAAAAGAAACGAAAGAATGAATGTCGTCATTCTAAAGTTGTATGGCCTAGTTAAAAATAGTCAGATAGAATTGTGTAATCAAAACTATAATTTAAATTGTTGAAAGTTGAAACATAGTTTTGTATGTCGACAGATTCGTTTTATTGAAATAACTAGAAATGTTTTCCAAAATGAATATTTTGTATGTATCATCAAATCATTTTTTGATAAAGATAGCAATATCAGGTGTTTAGATAGTTTCCCTTGTACATTGAAGTCACAGTAGACTTAACCTTCTCAATGACATTCTTCTCTAGAAGCTGCATCATCGTCAATGTAGTCGACAACATACAACGAAGGATTAGAGTTTTAAAGCTTTCCTATCACAAGTTTAACTTTCGGAAATATCTTTCTCTCATTTTTTAGTAGTCTATTCTTCACCACTATTGTCTTCAATTTCTGAAGGCAAACATTTTCAGAACTAAGAAAAGTTCCAGAAAACTCGTCGAACACTTTCATCATCGCATCTCTAAGTATCGACTTTTACCTCTCTGTATATCATAAGAAATTTTAAAATGTTATTGTCAAATAAAAAAGCGAAAACCTTTGACAACTGATTCTTGAAATGTGGAAAGAAAATCTTTCTAAAGTTCAATAAATAGTAGTACTGGATTGATTTTAACGTATTCTTATTCATTTTAACTTGCTAACTCGTTACAAAATAGAGAGACAGATTGCGAGAAAATTCTCTTGATAAGATGAAATCAAGTAGAAAGAAAGAAAGAAAGAAAGAAAAATTATTTAACCTTGTTTTTTTTTCAATATTCATTTGTTTACACATTCTACCTTCACATTGATGTCACTCGCTGTATATGCGCATATGGCCGAAATAAAATGGCAACAGTAATAAAAATATATTAGAAGAATGGTTGTTTTTTTTCTTCGACGTCAATATACTTTTTTTTGGTAATCTCTCTTGCTCTTGATATTTGCAGCTTTAGAAAAAATGCAATATAATCATACGCTTATTAATCAATACTAACGTCATCGGCAACTATTTTTCGTGCAATAAACTTTTGTATTGGCAGTTCATTATATTGCTTGAGATAAGTCGAATTATGCAGTTCATCGATATAAGAAGAAAAACAAATATAAGAAACACTTACTTTAGCTGGAATGAGAATGGTAATATATTCACACCGTCCTCCTCATCAATCCTCTGTTAACATTTGAAATATTTTTGTAGTCATGAAAGTGAAATTTAATAAACTAGTTTTAGATGTGTACTGATCACTTCTACTTTTTTTTGTATTTTTTTTACTGAATTTACATATGAGATATAAATCAATATAAACATTAAAACTCGTTCTATTGGATAAAAGTGAGTCAATATTTCTTTCTTTTATTATCTGTTCATCGCATAGTTTTTTTTATTGTCATAATATCTTTGTTGTACGTTCGTTGTTGCTTTTGTTTTCACTTGTCCGATGAATTATCAGCCAAAGATGGATGAACCACGGTGCATGACGAAATTTCGCGGTTTCCCCGCCTTTGTATAACCTTCATTTTTTAAATATACTCAGATCTTTAGAGACATCTTTTAAAAATTTTTAAAACTTTTTCACACAAAGCTAATCAGTAAAAAGAAGCTTGTTAGTGCAGCTCCAAAGGAGCTAAAATGTGGAACCCACGTATATTTTCAAAGTTTTTTATCCTGATGCCTAATTTTTAAATTGTAAAATACCTTTTTTTCGAATACGTATGAAATAATTGATATATTATATAAAAACTAGAGCCTTTTATGCGCGGTTGCTGAGGTCTATAATGGTGGATTGTCTGTAATTGTGGGATGTCTGTAATGGGAGTATATCTGTAATGTTCTCTTTCCGGCTGCTATGTGTCTGTAATGTGATGGGAAGAGGAGAGGGGGAGCCGCCAAATCTCAAACTTAAAACATACACTTACTATTTTCTTCGAAAATATAAGTGAGTTTCACAAAATGAGTGATTTTATTATAATTGTTTTCCATTTTCATGTTTATTTTTTTTCTATTTTTGAAATGATGTTTATGCATTTAAAATATGCCTTTTCATCTAATGAAATAAAATAGTCATTATGAAAGTTTAAGGAAAAATTTGTCGAGAAACAGTTTTTGAAAACATTTTGGACAGAGCGGGGCGGTGGCGGTGCGGAACTTTATCAACGGGGCGGTGACGGTGCGACTTTTTTGCTGACTCGTCCATCTCTGAATTGATATACATAATATGTAAATCAATTAACCTTTTTGAAATCAACTTTTAATTCATTTTCGACGAGAGAAAAAAATGATTTTTCAAGATATATATCGGCTTGTCCACGTAACGCGTCACCTCCTTGACCAAGAATTCGAAGTCATCATTTCATCAACCCACCATTGCTACCTTGTAGAGCACAATCTATAGTATACAGAAATATATTTTGTTCTTTTAATAAGTGCTGAAAGTCATATTTGATAATTGTTAATATAGGTGTCACTAAATGTATATAGGAGAATAACCATCTGGACCCTATAATTAGTCCAACCCTTTTATCGAAACAGTGTGATAAATATATACATAATTGAGAGCAATTGATTCTACGGTAACACAAGTATCATTTGGCAAAACAATCGATTTCCTACTTGCTACAGTCTGTTACTACCGCATCAAGTAAAAGTACCGAATTGATAGCGTTATCGCGTGACGAAAAATGAGTATTGTTTGTTTTTCACTGGTTAGCCTCATCCTTTTTCTTATACAAAATACGTACCTAAAGCTAGTTTTTTATGGGCTATTTAATGCACGTATTTTCATCTGAAAAGATTCTCTTTTAGAATTATTGTACGTAACGCGATGACGTTTTTTACCTTTTTCTTTGTTTTGGCATATTTGAGAAGAAAAATTTTTGAATATTGATTTACTATTCAAAGGTCACTATTTACTACAGATAATGAATTTTATAATTGAGTATTAGGAAGTTGTGATAAGATCATGGTTGATTGGTCCGCGTTAATAACGAACAATAAAAATGAAAAGACCAATCCAAATTAATATATTGTTTCAATTAGGCTAATCATCTTTAATTCTAAAAAAATCTTAATATCTGTATTTTGTAAAACAGTATTGAACTTTCATTTATTAAAAACTTTCCATTAACTTTTGAATTTGTTAAATATTAACACATATTATTGATACTACAGTAACTAACTAAATGGCTAAAACACATGCTGAAAGACAAAAACTTTATCGTCAAAATTTATTAAAAAATAAATCAAAGTATGATCAAATGAGAAAAATATCTCGTATACGTGATAATAAAAGACGTCAAAATTTAAATGGTGATTTATTACAACAGTTACGTAATCGACAAAAAAAGCATCAAAAAAATATCGTGATAGAAAAAAACTTGAACGTATAAATAATAAACAATCATCATCATATAAATCTCGTCAATCATTTGGTAAAGCAGTCAAACGTGTTCTTCAATCATTACCAAAAGATATTAATAGACGTGTTAGTGTAATTCATCATATTGCACAAGAATTTAATATTATTCCAAAAACAACATCTCATCATCAACGTGAACAACGTTCATTATCAATTGAATTAAAACAATTAGTTATGAATTTTTATAGTCAAGATGACATCAGTTACCAGTTATCTGGTAAACGTGATTTTATTACAATCAAAGATGATAATAGTACGTCAAAAACAATACAAAAACGAATTCTTTTATTTAGTTTACGTGAAGCACATCAACTATTTTTAAGTGAACATGATCATATAGATGCTTATTTATTATTAGGATCATTTAGTGATCTTCGGCCATCAAATGTACTTCTTCAATCTCATATGACACACCGTAGTTGTTTATGTGCTTATCATGAAAATATAAATTTATTAATAAAACCATTATCAAAATATATTCCATGTCCTGGTTTACATTCACTACAAGCATTTTCATCAACACTTGTTTGTTGCGAGACAAATGAAAAATGTATGTTTAGCAAATGTTCTTTATGTACAAATAACTTGGAAAATAAAATAATAAAATATGTTACTAATTTTACACAATCAATTAATTGGTATCAATGGGTTTTAAAAGATGGATATTCTAAAAAGATTGAATTTAATGGTACAATTGGTGAATGTATAGAAGTTTTAAAATCAAAAGTAAATCAATTTTTAGCTCATATTTTTATTAAACGTCAACAATCGGAATACTTTGAAAAAATGAAAAAAATTTCAAATAATGAAAATATTTGCTTACGGATTGATTTTAGTGAAAATTTTCGATTAGATATTCAAGATTCTGTACAAAATTCGTATTACTCGAAAGTTGAATTAACTTGGAATTACTTCGCCACCTCCCATGGTAAGGGGGTGGTTGATGGTGTGGGAGGTACACTTAAACGTCTTGTTTATAGAGCAATACTTAGTGGACAATAATGTAGTTCAGCAGCTCAATTTGTAAAGATTGCTCAATCCAAAACAGATAGTATCAATGGTATTGAATTAGAAGATATTCATATTGAAAATTCAAAGGTAAAAATGGAAAAAATTTTCCAATCAATAAAGACAATACCAGAAACAAAAAAAATTCATTCAGTAAAAGTACTTCAAAATAATACAATTGAATATAAATATTATTCGAATAGTTCAACAAAAAAAACTTATCGATTTTTAAATTAGAACAAATTGTATATATATATCGTTTTTCATTTGATTAAGTGCCACGTTATTTGACATAGTAAACCTATATCTCATCAACATCTATGTAACGCAAATAAGATTGTTGTATATGTAGAGTAGTTAGTTTGTATTTTATGCCCTCATTTTGTATTACCTCATATTGATAGCGTTTTATGTATGTGTTGAAATTTTTAAACTTTAAAATTTTTTACTGTATCCACATATCAGTTATTATATTGATGTATTTAATTTATTTTTTGTTATTTTTCTATGCAGAACTTATTGATAAATCAAATATTCAACACTCTTTTATGATATAGGTTCAAGTAAAGTACTCTGTTGTCTTTACAGATCGACATTTCTAACGAAAGCAAGTAAAGCGAAAAATTTGATTAAAAAAATAAGCATCATCGCGTTACATTAATGAAACCGATCCCTCTTCAAAATAAGAAGTCTGTTTGAAAATCTTTTTTATCCGTTGGATACCTCAAACAGTCGGCTACAAAACGCCTATAGAACGTTCCCTTTGGAACAACAGAAAATTCGCAGAAAAATAAACAGCAATCATGTCACCCTCAACTTTTTGTCCCTTGTTCATCATCGCGTTACGTCATCTATTTTTGCTATAATTTTCCTACGACTCATTCAAACGAGCTCATATTTTCAGAGGTTGTGGGGGAGACAGAGGTACATCTTCCACCGAAAGAACGAGTCTTCTAGGCAACCTCATTGTTGAGAAAAGTTAATAGAACTGCGGCCAAAACGTCATCGCGTTACGCTTGGACAAGCCGATATGCAAATGATTTTCTATGTAAAATCATTCAAATTTTTGAATCAAATAATAGTCATTTTTCTTTTTCTGTTTTAGATTGGCCTCGATGATATAAAATTAATCAAATCAAGATCAAGCCATACAATAAAAAAAAAAGTAGGTATCAGTTTTAATTTTTTTTCTTTTTATTTAACGATTATAAGGATGGTGAAGTAAGACCTCCTATAATCTTTTTAATTTATATTTTTTTCTTTTGTCTTAGGTTCGATGTATATTTTCAACTATGACAAGATAACAGTGGGGTAAGTTAACTCATTCTTTTTTTTCCATTATATAACATTAAATTAATTTTTTTTATTTTTCTAGCTCTCAGTATCATCGCGTCGTAATCAACATTGTTCAACATCAAAACAGGGTGAGTAATGTTTTTTTTTAGATGAGAATAGGGGAGAGGGGGATGAGGTTAGATAGTGTAGTATTGAGATTGAAGAGAGGGATAGAGTGACTGAGAAAAGAGTGTTAGTAGGGGGAAAGGGTGAGTTATGTCCATTGAGATTAGGTCCCCGTTAGTTACAGGCCTTCTGGGTAGGCCCTAAAAACCCGGCCAAGAACTGTCTTGGTGTCCGTGGCACACGACCAGGCTTATTCAGACTCATTGACATATCTCTCGCGGGGAGGGTATGAATGATATGAGTCTGTCCTGTGCGTGCATGAGCGTTACGCTCGCCACGGCTCCACCAGGATGGTTCCTGGTCGCGCGAATAGAATAAGCCATTCATTTCGTCAATTCAATACGATTTATTTGAGAGAAAGGAACGCAAAAAAATCTATCACGACGAGTCTATTCGATTGAAAAGCGTTGAACACGATGATTCGACCGATCGGCGACATAGAGATTGCCATGTCGATCGAAGGACAAACCCCAGGGACAGTTGAACTGATTTGCTCCTGCTTCTTTACCATTTCCACCCACAATGACAGTGCCCTCTTTCGCTTCTTTTGGCCAACGCATCACTCGATTGTTCACCATGTCTGCCACATAGATGGTACCCAATGTATCGACGAACAGTCCTTGAGGATACGACAATTGTGTCAGAGCATTCCCTTGGCCTTGACATCCAACAACGACAATTCCTTCTTTTGCACCTTTATTCCATTTCATTACACGATGATTGTTTTGGTCTGACACGTAGACAGTCTGTTGTTGATCGACAAAGATGTAGGTCGGATAGTTGAGTTGATTGAGACCAGCACCTTTGCCATTGCCACCAGCCACAAGAGTTCCATTCTTGTCTCCTAATTGATATCGTCTTACTTCATGTTTGTTGGGATCAGAGATGTAGAGATATCTCTGATCATCCATGGCCAATCCCAAACAAATGATGTTGTCGATGAGAATTTCTCCTTGAGTTGTACCACTACGACGGGACCATCGAGCGACTCGTCGATTCTTCCAATCACAAATAATGAGACTATCCGTCTCTTTGTCAATCAACACATCGATTGGATAATTCAATTGATCCAATCGATTTCCTTGGCCATTGCCACCAGCTACTACTTGTCCATTCGTATCACCCATCTTCCATTGGATGATACGATGATTGTAGCAGTCAGCGATGACCATCGTTTGATCATCATCAACGAAGAAACCATAAGGCCAGTAGAGTTGATTGGTGGCACTGCCTTCTCCATGGCCTCCAGCAACGGTCGTCCCATTCTGTTTCCATCGGACATCGACTGGAATATTTAGAATTACTACAATGAACGAAAAACAAAAGAAATCGTCGTTGTCGAAGGGATCTCGCCTCTCGTGGAAGCAAGCGCTATAAAATATGACATTCATCTTTGAGAATGCTCATTCCGCAGATAAAAATTCAGAAGTCTTTTCCTAGTTTCTTATGAGGAAAAAAGGATTTGGTAACGATTCTTACATCTATGTTACTTCTAGTTCTTGCCAAGATCTTTTTGATCATAAAAATAACACCTGGAGATTGCTGTAAGGAGGTTCTCCAAGAAAGAGTAATACTAATTCCATGTAAGTTTTTGATAGAAAAACATAAGGATCTGAGGTCTTTTTTCCAGAATTGCAAGAATTCAGAATCTTTTTGGCAGAATGATCATTTATATGAACATCAGAGAAGATTCTATCTGTATCTTGTGAGAAGAATATCGAATCGTTGAACAACAAAATATCAAACCTAATCCCTATATTTTTTAGGAAACCTTAAGGATGCATGATTTTCTGTATGATGAATGTAGATCTGCCGAAGAATTTCCTAAGTATTTGCATAGAGAATGCCGGTGAAATTTTATAAGGCTTTTGGTAAGTTATGCGAAGCTGTTCGAGGAACAACCGTGATGTACTCTGACTAGGATCATGAGAAGGCTTGGATACAGGCGAAACTGAACAAAGTTGAGAGGATTCCACGCGAATCTATGTAATCTGAGAGGGCTTCTACTTTTGCAAATGCTGAAAAGATGGATGTCAATCCGAACGGAGCTCTCCAGTGACAAACATTGGGATCTATGGATTTTATGGGCTTTGAAAAGGGCGATGATAATGGGATAGGCAGAAAGTGTTCTAAAATGTTATTTTTAACTTTTGATGAACACCATCTTCAAACCATTGTATTAGGGTCCTCGAAGAGAATCTTGATGACTAAATAAGATACTCTGTCAAAATCTGAAAATCTAAAAATAATGAGTATCTTCTATGAGGATCATGCTATAATCCTTATGTAGTACTTGTTCTGGGAAGTCTTCTTTGAGGTTGCATGTGATGGATATGTTCAGGAGGATCTGAAGAATAAGTATTTTGAAATAGTTGATATCAGAGATGGCCAATTCCAACTCCTAAGTTGATGCTTTTTCTCATCAGAGTGAGAGCGGAGTTATATGGAGTAGGAGCGGGGCAGAATGGAGGTGCCTATCTCTGAATTTTATGAAAACGTTTATAAAGCAATAAACTAATGTGCTACTATTTGATATCAATCATAGATTTAATTGTGTTCAAAATCTTATGTGTATTTAACCCTCGGATGCCCAAGCTAATTTTTGGAGATAATATGATAACATGTATTGATATTTCTATGATTTTGATTGCTGGACTGGTATTCTTGCCCAAATTAGATTGTTTTCCTGTTCAGTCTTGTAAAGTAATTATTAGAATTATAGTTTTCATTTATTTAGAACAGTAAATACAAAAAATTCCCTGAACAAAGTGCTCATCACAAACCAATTCTGAACAATGATAACATTTATTTCGAACTTTTCTATCTGTAGAACGGTCACAAAACGAACATCGTTTACATTTCGATTGTGTAGGGTTTTCACTGAATTCTTTTGAACATAATGAATATCATAGGCACAAGGGCGGATATATATAATAGAAATCTCGGGACAATAATAATCTTCTCGAAGATTCTGAACAAGAATATTGAAAATAGACTAGATGCGACGCCATGCACAAAAAGAATGCAAGAGAGAAGGGATATGCATGAGATGTAAAGTAGACAGGAAAGAAAAAAGAGAAATGTACTAGAAGAGATCAAAAAGAGACAGTGAAAATAGATGCATTTTTTTAAAGCTTTTGTCAGATTCAGAATAAAAGATGTCATTGGACATCTTATTAGATTCTGAGATTAAGAAATATATAAGAACAGAGTAAAGGACTCTGATCTGATTTTATCTGACTAAATAGGATTCATAAACAAAAGAAAGTTATAGTATTACATAATCCAAGTCTTGTCTGCTCTTATTTGATTCTATGTGATCTATCATGTTCTTTTACTTATTTGAGAATTGTTGATTCAATAGCTTCTATTACGGAGAAATGTACAAAATACACAATGTTGTGTTATGAAAGTCAATATTTTCTATTATTGTAATCGTAAAATCATTTTTGACTTCACAAATGCTTTGTATAATAGATTAGTCAAGGTACAGTTGTATCTTGGAAATGTTCACATAATAGAGAACGTTTTTCTTCACAAAATATTTCGACAGAAAAAATATCGATGTCCAAATTTTTCTAAAACTATCACAAGATGAAAAATTAAATTTTTTTCTATTATCCTCTACTATACGCTGCAACATATATTTTTGTATTCCTTATTTTTCTATATTGATATTATTAATACAGAAATTATTTTATTTCATATGGTTTCTTTCTATATTGACAATATAGAAAATAATATATTAATTAATTTTTTTCTACCATATGCCTGGGAATATTTTTCTATATATATAATATAGAAAACGATATAATATTTGATTTATTTGAACTTATATGCTTATACGTATATTTTTATTCTTAGTTTTCCATACTGATATTGATAATATAGGAAGCTTGTTAGCGTAGCCCCTTTGAGGCTGAAATGTGAAACTCACATATATTCTCTAGTCTCATTAAACTAATACAAAATATGTAAAGTGAAAAATCTTTTGTAGACTATAGTTATTTTGTAGGATAATCGAACATCAGAGTAGGAGTGTTTCTAATTTCTGCATTTCGAACAGAAATTTTCTTTTTCTACGGGCACCCTATTTTTTATTTTGCATTGTTACTATTCGCTCCTTATTATTCATTTTTTAAATTCGTTTTTCTTAGTTTAACATTCTTATTATTATAATCATTGAATTAATTGGCAAATACATCTATTTTACATATCCATTATATCTATAGCAGATCTTATGCACTATTGTGTATATATATGTTAAGTAACTCAGAAACAATAATGTTGATTATCTTTCAAAATTATAACTTCATCAACTTTGCAAAAAAACTATAGAAAGTGTGACGCCTGGTATCTTCGATTGCTAAGATCCGTAATGAGGAGTTGTCTATAATGGAGATGACGATGGAGGGAGGGAAGGGAAGCCGCAAAAATTCGACTTAAAACTTACACTCACTATTTTCTTTAAAAATATGTAAGTTCCCCAAAACCAATGATATAGATGTATTTCAAACTCGATGTCCAGTGATTCTAATGAGAGACGACACTGAGTCTAAACGCTTCTCATTAAAGAGAGACATATATTTATAAAAATATTTATTGGCATATGATTGTTTTCGTAAATGTCAAAATCCAACTCTTATTTTGCGTAGATATATATACCTATCCGCTAGTTGAGCGATCTTTCCCTAACATTTATAATAGAATTACGTTGTCTGTCATCTGACCTATATAATAGTATAGAATGTATAATGTGTAGACGGAATATAGGGTTTCATATAAGACGAATAAGTCAAAAAAAAATTATTTAGCATCATTGAAATCAGAAATGAAATGAATGAAATAGATCTTTTTCTTTTTACCATGTTGAACCATTTCAATTCATTTTCATTCCAATTATCAACAGACAAGTTCAATAAAATTATGTTTATGAGATAAAATTTGATATTTGACTACATTTATGATAATAATCAAATTTCATTTGATTTCATGTACGTATAGTCTAGGTTTGTTGAACAAACGACTGAGACTACACTATTGTCTAATAGAGAGTGAACGAAAATTAATCACCTCATTAGCGTGAAAAATAAAAAAATTACATGACAATGAAGAAATGAACAAATTGTATTTTTGATTTAGAAGTTATGAACGTAACGAAATTTTGTTAATTATCGGATTCCATGTTCAATCAGATCATAACTTTCTAGTAAACTTTCTCGAAAAGATGAAATCCTGCCATTCTAATTTTCAAACTAAATTTTCACATGAGTTGCTTAAGCTATTGGGATAGACATGGAAAGGAATGAAAACTTCCTTCTGATACTGAATATCGGTTTTGTATTGATGAATTTTCAGATTTCGTAAAAGAAATTGAGTAATTTTCCGCACGACAACTACGATAAAGCAAGCAGATATTTTTGAAAACAAACTCATAAAAACATGTCGGAATTATTACGAAAACAAAATCATAAAAGTATTTTCAAGCGAATATATCTGTTCAAGATTTTTGATTTAACCTAAATGAAACTGAACTCACAGATCTTTGAAAACTTTTTTGATTTTATTCAACTCAACTCATGAGTTAGGAAGATTTTCTTTCAATTTGACTCAATTCAATTCAAATCATGAATTGAGTTGCTCAGTTATGAATCGAACGCATAGTCACATGTAAAATATATACGGTAAAAAAAAATCATTCTACTTTTAAGAAACTCATCTAACTACTGCGCATTCTGTGAAAGTAACATATATGAAGATTGCTTGTTAGATTTCGAACAATTGTGAGCCTTTTTTCGTATTTTTCGAATATCTGAAGTTGAACAGATATAAAAAATATATATCTAAACTATCGTCGAAAATTGCCTATACTGAATTGACATCATTATTAAAATATATGTGTTATTGGAAAATATGTTAGAATATATTTATCAATTTTTTTTTGTTAGGATAAGAACAATACTAGTCGCGCACACTCACTGTGAGTCATTTCTATCATTGTATTCTTAAATAGATTTAAACGTGATTTTTTTACACGATTAAGATAAAAATGTAATGAAAAAGAATGAACAAATAAATTTGATAAAGTTATTTAAATATTTTTACTAATAACGTGCCCTTTTAACAAGGACTTAGGTGAGTACGATACTCGGTAACTTGTAGATGAATGCAACAACGATAACGAAGTCCCACTATTTTCTAATGGAAAAAAAACAAATATCTATTTCAAAGGAACACTAAATGCAGCAAAAAAGTAGACAGCATTTTTCTAATCGCAAATTCTTGATATTTTTTGTAACGTTACCATCAGGAAATGCTGCATTAGGATAAATAATATTGCTAAAAGTATTCTCTTTTAAATGAATACGATTCGTCTGATTCCACTGATTTTAATGATCTTCATTTGATACTCGTTGAATCGATAAACTTTCTATCAATTGATTTCTTTTCTCATTGATTTAAGCCATCAAACAGATTAAATCTCAGAATAGAAATTAAACGATTATGACTCATATTGAAGTTTTTTTCAACGATTAACTATCGACCTAGCGCTTTACATTGAGCTACTGTAATTTACTGTGATGCACCGAAATAAAATTTGGGTTTTCTTCTACCTAATAATTAATTATAGTACATTATTTTCAGTGACTAAAATAAAAACAGTTATCGATGATTTAATTAGAAACATTTTCGGGTTAAGCTTGAACATTTAAAAATAGAACGACATACTTCTTATTTCTAGTGAATCAAGTTAAACTATATTTCGTTGACGAGCATCAGATATCTGCCATCGTTCCAGAGTAATTACTGACATATAAGCATCTCAAGGCAAAACTCAAATCGAGCAGACATGAAATATGAATTCTACTTAATATATAATATTACTTTTAGTACTTGAAATAATTTAACTCTCTTCTTGGGTGCTATAAATTTTTACATAATTGGAGATAATATAGTGAAATCTACTAATTTGATATATTTCTGATTGTTTTTGTAGTAGTCTAACCCATTTCATTTCAAACTTAATTTGGTCACCTGTGCATAATTGGCAAAAAACGCATTTTCGTATACTGCAATGAATTCTAATAAATCTACAAAATATTCTGATTGTTTCGCAACGTGTAATCCTGATCTCAGAAAGAAAGAAATATTTAGGTGAACAAAGAATTAAAAACAAAAACTCAGGCCATCACCTTGTTAACCAGTATAGAACAGTGGTCGCTCTTGCAGAAGAATAAAAATAATAAGTAAACGTTACAGAATGTCTATAGCAAAGTGTGAGCATGTTGAGAAAAAGTATAAGAAAAATTGCAGCAATGTGAGAAGCTAAACGAATTCCGGGAGCTGAGTGAATTTAAAATATGCACGGTATGCAAATAATGAGAGACATGCATAGTTTCAAAAGAATCTAAGGAAGTTTAAAAGCAGAGAGTTTTTAGGGTTCGGAAGATTTCAAGAAATTCATATCAACCTAGAAACACATATACGTCGAGGAATGCAAGGTAGTTTGAAAAATCCTAGGAATTTTAAGATTGCCAGCAACCTGATGAATCAAAAGAATCTGTGAAATATGAGTGTGTGTTAGTGCAACAGCAAACATTATACCAACATCTTTCTCCCTATATCCACATCTACATTCACATTCACACCCTGGTCCAGGTAGTGGATAAGACCAGTTTAGATGCAATCAACGTAGTCATACATAATGAATTTTGATACGTATATGTTTTTAGCTTTTAAAATTAAAGTCGTTTTTCAGATCAGAGAACAAGTCCAGAAGCACATGAACAAAAATGCATATATGAACCTGTAAATGTTAAAATGATCATTTCACTTGTTTAATTTTCATTTTATTCTTTAAATACAAATAAGTCAAATTTTATGCCAGAAAACAGCTAGAAATGACAAACGACAGCTGAAGGTGATTGACATCTTACAGTTGAAAATTTCATCTCAACGAATCTGGTTTATGCTAGCATTGTCTCACGTCATAATGATATTTAGTCAAAGTTTATATTAAGTAAAATAACATCTTGCTGTGTGCAAACTATTATATAGTTCAATTACATCTAACATATATATGAATAGTTGAGTTTTTTTTGTTTTTTTTGTTTTATTTAAAAGAGAATCATTAATGGTATCTGTTAACTGCTGTATTCAACTTTCATCTTAATTATCTACTTGATAAAGCCAGAAAACAATTCTATATATCGTGAACATATTTTTTTTCTCACATCTTAATATTGTTGAATTGATAAACGGATCATGATTGGTTGAAAAAATGAAAATGGGAAATATAGAATCATTCTTACCTGATGTCATTTTCTTGGAAGCAACACTGGCAGATTGCATTGATGTCATCATTGTTGATGTCGATGGAGAAAATGTACTTGGTTTATGAACAATCGAAGAAGCTTTTTGCCCGTCCGATTTAGGAAATGGTGGTTTGACAAGTGTCATCGGTGGTATAATTTCTTTTAATTGAATAATATGCAGTTCAGGTGCTGGATTTAATTGACCCATCACTTCAAAATAGGAACCTGGCATAAGAATAATTTCTTTTTCGGTATCTTTAAAATATGAATATGCGGCAATAGATTTTCCATTAATACATTGAATTGAAAAGAGAGTACGTTGTCCATGTTTACCCAAAAATTGACTTTTTTCTAGTACTTCAATATGAGTCGTACAAGAACTTACTCCCCACCAGGCGAATTTCATACCAGTTTTGTATTTAGAACTTAAATCGACATCTCGAATACCCCGCCATACTGTTTCAGTTTGTGATGGTAGTTTATGTAGTGCAGTAAGAAATAATTTTAGGTACAAAAACCATGGTTTCAAATCTTCACGATTTTCAGCACGTAATGACTGATTAAGTACATGATATAAACTTGGCCCACCATCAAATTGCATTGTATATAAATGTATTGAAGCTGATTCTTCTTGATTTAATCCATTAGCGGAATTTTGACAATTATGTAACGCAACCATAACATTATCTTCGATTTCATTAAAAAAACTAGATACCGGTTCAATAGCTGCCGTAAGTGTAACAAGTGGTTTATCTTGATAGCCTTTGATCGGTGACAATAGGTGATCCACAGGCTCATTGTAAAGATCAGTGAAACGAGAGTTCTTACCAGGTTGCATTGCCTTGGCCATGTGATGTGTTTTAATTCACAACACACAAAAAAATAAATATCAAAAATCTAGAAAAAAGAAGAAATAATCGAATCATGGTTGTTTTATTTTCATATTGGGTAGCATTGAAATATAATGATGAATAAGTCAAAAACGGAAACAAAGCATATAGTTTGATGCTTGAATCTGTGTAGTATATTCTTGTATGGAAATGGTTATCATAGCATTTGACAGACAAAAAATAATAGTATTTTGATTAGACAATGACGAATTTCGAAATATTTTTGATCTTGAATGGAAACATGGTTGGCAAATATGACAGATTCTATACTCTACAAATTATCAGAAATTCAATTCAAATACTATTCCTAGAGTACATATTGATTTGTCATAGCAACAAACATTAAATCTTATCAACACAGTTCATTCGTTTTCTTCATGAAAAAATAATAAGAATTTTGATTTTCTTTCTGCAAAACCTCGAAAATGAAACGTATACGTTAAGTATAACCAATGGAATTCATTACACTTCATGGCTCTTCATACTATGCTGGCATTGCATTGTTGAGTAGGATAGTAAAACTCTTTTGTGATTTTACGACTGTTTCGATAAATATCTTGAGAATTTCTTACTATGATTAAAATTAATCTAGTCACGTATTCCATTATTGTCTATGAGAGTGAGTCGTATTTCAGATAGGGGTACGCGAAAAATCAACGATTTTCGATATTCAAAAACATGGCGGTCAACAGACTTTCAATTTGATCCGTTTGGAAGTGAGGTCTTACGAGGGAACCTTTTCAACTGTCCAATCGCTTTTGAGTTCGAACTCAGTGTGAAAGATAGACCCCAGTGAGGTATGAAAAACCCCAAAAGGATTAGTGCCCATAGGCCTTCTGTCCAGAGTTATAGGCATTTTACCGGATTTTTAGCCTATGGCACAGTATATACCAAAAAATCGAATGACAATATTTCGAGCTGAGATTTTGTCCAAAGATAGGTCTATGTACCAATAGAATGCCCTGAAAATTTCAGCTCAAAAGAATGTTTCAATCTCGGGATATTAAACTCCCAAAAACCGCGC